ACTACTTTGGTGGTAACAATACACAATGTACTAACCATTATTACTCTCCTAAAATCTTGTTTTGAGATTTTGTAAAATAAATAAATAAATAAATAAATATTAAAATGAAACTCAAAAAAAAGAAAGGTTGCTTATAAGACTACACTTCAGATTTTATGCTAAAAAAACTTACATGTAGTATCATACAAGGAAGGGAGTGATTGAAAATTATGGTGAATGTTCAAATTTCAACAAAATTGTTACACTTAATCTCCCTCAAAAATCCTCCTCTCTTCAGAAATGCTCCAGAAAATAGCAAGAACAATAAGATAAGTGTGTTGCAAGTAAAGGGGAGGATTTTCCTCTCATTAATTGTAGTGTGTCTTTTATTATAATAATTTTTTCAAGATTTAAATACATGAAATTAAGTTTATATTTATATGTTAAATTTAAATTTATAGTATATGTTAATAAACTCAGTTTAATGTTAGAAGTAAGCCAAACATTCAGAGTGGGGAGGACCAGAAAGGATTCCTACAGAATAGAATGCAAGACAACCTGTGGGCTTAGCCCAGCTGGTGACATGAGCCACATGGAAACACTGGAAATGTGCCCCTGCAGCCTTTCTCTCTTCCAAGGCTCCTGTCTTCCTCATGTCTAATGTCAATCGCACCCCAAGATGTCCAGTGTGGTCTTGGTTGTCTTCTCAAACTCTCCTGCAGAAGGTGCACCTAGATTCATGTGGTCATAGCCATTTTCTGGGACAACTTCTGTGTCCTTAGGTGACCCTGGCCTATGTCCAGATCCCAGAACACTTGAGTTGACTGAACACGATGCATTGGTTGCAATACTGAGCTATTCCTGACCAAAGCTTGGGATATGAGTTCTTCAGGAAAGGCCAGGTGTGTTTCAGGGGCCCAGGCTCAACTGGCCAGCTGAGTGTGTCATTGTCTTTCCCCTGACTTCCTGTGCCCAAGACACCACACCCCACCTAGCATCTGGGAAGTCAGTTCTTGTCTGCTAGAACCATAATTCTCTGAAACAGTGAAGTATAGGATTGTCCTGAGGGCACCACCCCTGCAGCAACTCCCATAGCCCCTATCTTTCCTCTGTCCCAGTCCCCCAACCTCTCTAGTCTTCTCTAGCCTGAGCAATTCACTCCAGCAATGGCTGCAGCTTTGAGCTTTATCTGTAGCCACAAAGCCAGGATGAACTGACAGTGTGTCCTTATATTCCTGTTTAGGTACCACTTTTCCACATCTGACATTTCAATGTGGCTAATGGACAGCATACTACTTTCCAGTGATTGTGTTACCTGGGGAGGAGGTAGAAAATTTCTCATCACATCTTTGGGCCTCTAGGAAGAGTTTGCTGTTTGGTGTGCTGTTTTGGTCTAAATTTTCTCATAGTCCAAGTTAAGGGTGAAATCTCTGTCATTCAGTGAGTTAGTCTGTGTCTCCCTGTATTTACAATATGTATTTGGAAAACCCCACAAATATTTGCTACACTTAAAATAATGTTTTCTTTTGACCTTTGTTCATTCACAGATAAGAACTGTTATGGTTTGTGTCTATTTGTTTCCCCAAATCCTTATGCAGTTATTTGGGTGGCTTCTAGAGTTTGTAATTAATTCATGATCCAGTGCTGGGCTTAAGGGGGTGAGTACTACATCCACACTCGGGCAGATAATTTGCATACAAATGTAAGGAGGTCAGAGAGGCTTGTTGGCTGCCACAGCTGCTGCACTGCCCTTTACTCTTTGCTGTTTTCCTCCACCATGAAAAACTGTCCTCTTCCATGTGCTACTCTGCTTTAGAGCCAGCTAAGTATGGACTGAAACCACTACAAACTGAACTAAATAAATCTTTCCATCCTTAAATGTTGGGTGTTGGGTATTTTGTCTCAGCAATGAGAGAAAAGTAACTGAGATAGGAACCAAGTGGATTGAGTTGTCTAATACTTCTTCTGAACTTTATGCTTCTAAAACACAAGGAGATTTAACCAGGCATAGATTTTTAAGGCCAGATGACCCTAGCCTGTATCCAGACCCTGACATATTTGATGGAGAATTGAATAAGCAAATAAGACTTACAGTTTGCTATTGTTGGATACTCCAAGGTGATTATTTAGCACAGTAATTTATATTCTGGCTGTCTCCCAAAGTAATTGAAATGCTTTAGATAAAGCAGGTGGGTAGAGTGTGGAAGAAAGAGTACTGATCACTTTATGGCCATGGAAATAGACAGTCAACCAATGCTATCAGCACCCTTTGCTTACAAAGACCTGATGGTTTCTGTCCTGAGTTGTCAGCTACTGTGCTTTCAGATAAGGGGTACCTGGAGGCCCAACCCTGCTTTGAAGGCCTGGAACTTAGGTTGGTGTTGTTGGAAGGTGGTGGAACCTTCAGGAGGCCATTAAAGGAATGTCCTTCACAAGAACTGGGGACACAGGTCTCTTCTGTCTTTCTCTCTCTGCCTCCTGGCTGCCACAAGGTGAGCTGCCTCTGCTACACATTCCTGCCATGGTGTGATGCCTCTCTATAGGCCCACAGGCAATGGAGCAGTTGGTTACTGACTAAAATCTCTGGATCTGAGAGCCAAGATAGACCTTTCCTCCTTTTAAGTTGATTATTCCTGTGTCTCCTAAAATGATGGAAAGTTGACTCACTCTTGCCTAGCTACTTTAATTTCTTTCTTTTTTTGTGGCCAGCTCAGCCCACCCTGGAGGCAAGGTTGGTATGGCAAATGGTGCTGGGGATCAAACTGTGGTTCCTGTGGTTGCCTAAGCTTACCTAAGCAGGTGCTTTAGACCACTGCACTATATTGCCACTGAGCTATATACTTTAATTTCTTCAGACAGGGTGCCATGGCCTCAGCTTAGATGGCCTCTCAGGAGAGCTTGCTATATATCCATGGAACAACTGTTGGGCCTGGCCTATAACTCTCAAGTTTGTACCACCACATGAGCTTCATATTCTGTCCTTGTTTCAGACATATCATTTTATTCCCCTAGTAATGAAGTTATACAGTGTGCACTTACAAGAAGATTATTCACATGAAAACATTAGTAGGATTATCTTGCTCATAGGAAAGAGAGGGTTGGGAATATCAGTATTTTGTGGTATTGAGCCAGTAAGACAGGGTGCTGCAAAGCTGATTGGGGGAGTAAGCATGACTAGATCCCACGACATATATGCAAAACAATTCCTAGGACTCCATATGTGGATCCCCTCATGTGAGAACACATGATGTGTGGAAAGGAAAGAATGGTAATTGCTGAAGCACTCACTATTTTGCCTCTTCAGGGTAGCCTCCCTATGTCCAAGGAGATATATATATATATATATTTTATTTATTTATTTATTTATTTATTTATTTATTTATTTTTGCGGAACCGGGGATTGAATTCTGACTCTTGCACTTGCCAGGGAAGCACTTATTCCACTGAGCCATCTCCCCGGTCCCTGTTTTATATTTATATTTTTTATTTTTGTTTTTAGTTTTCCTCTGTTTTAATTTTTTTTCTTTTATCTTTTATTTGATATGAGGTCTCACTACTCAGCTCAGACTCATAGTGCTCCTCTTGTGTCAGCTTCCCTGGTGCTGGGATGACAGGTGTGCTCCACCATGGGTTTCCAGGGTTAGTGTGGCATGTGATACTGGGGATAGAACCAGGTCCTTTTGCTTGCCTAGCAGGTGATTAGACTGCTGAGCTATTGCCCAAGTCCCTGTTTTTCCTCCCTTTTACTCAGCTCAATCTCATACTGCAGAAATGAATTTCTTTCTTACCTTTTACATTTAATTTTTCCTAGCTAAAATAACTGCAAAATGTTGCCACTATTTTCTCTTATTTCACTCAATTCTTTGTTTGAGATGGAAAGAACCCAGAAATCATATCAAGAAGGAGACTCCAGCATCCAAAATCTGTAACAGTATGTTATGTTACTGTCTTACGACACAATCCACCTCTTAATGATATTATTTTAGTGCATCTATAAATCAAGAGCAGTAATTCTATGGGTACTTGCTGTAGGAAATCATCCTTCTGAATGCACTCCTGAGTTCTGGACTCCGGAAGGCATAGATGAAAGGGTCAATGACTGCATTGCACATGATCAACATGCCATTCACTTGAAACAGGGACATATAGCAGGTACAGTAAGGATTGCTGGGACAGAAGGTCATTAGGAGAATGTGAAGGACAAAAGGGGCCCAACAGAAGATGAAAACACCCAGGAGGATCGTCAGGGTGATGGCACCTCTCATATTGGCCCTGGGAAGGGTGGCAGTGTTCCTGGCATGGGAGCGAGCAAGTAAGAACATGTGTACATAGAGGCAGAGGATAAAGACTAGCATCAATGGGAACAGTGACGTGAAGGTGAGCACTGTGGGGATGTGATGGGAGAAGAGCACCATGGTAATACCACTACCAATGCAAAAGGTCCAGATGATTGCTAGAGCTACAGTGGTGCGGCGCATGGTTACAATGCTGTGGTACTGCAGGGCATGGAATATGGTGATGTAGCGGTCAACAGCAATTGCCAGTAGGCTGAAGATGGAGCCAAGCAAGGACAGGATGAACATGGTGTCAATGATGTCATCTGCTGTGGTTTCAAAACTGCCACGAGGATTGAGATAACCCATGTTTCTGAACATGATCAGAATGTTTTCCAAGATCTTATACAGGCTTCCCAGCATGTCAGAAATGGCCAAACTACAGATGAAAAAGTACATGGGGAACTGGAGGTTCTTATTCTTGATCACAGCCAAGAGAACAATGAGGTTTTCCAAAACTCCAGTGATAGAAATTAGGAAAAATATCTCTTCTGGCAAAGCCACATGGGGACAGTCTGAATTGTTTCTTGTTGTGCCATTGACATTTGCACTTGAGTGGATAATGTGTTTCATTTCTCCTCTCTGTGGTTAAAAGAGAACTTGAGAACTATTTATTTCTTCAGAATGTCTTCCTCTTTGTAGCACTTGCTGGAGGTTTGAGGACAAAAATCAGCTGCCTGAAAGAGAACATATGGAAATATCTATTGCTAAGTAAATTACAAAATTTTAAAAAGTCACACTTTCTTTGAGATAACTCAATACTCTTTGTAAGTATCATCATGTAGCCATTTCAATAAAACAATTTACTGAGCTCTTATTTTAGCCATTTGAGAATATCTTCAGTGTAATTACTTTATTAATTTTATTGAGAAACAAATAGCAATGAGACAGTTCCAAAACAAGTTAGTAGGACAGTTACAATAATTAATACATTGCAGTTGTTGTCTTCATAGTAGTTATTCATAGTGCAAGATGCAGACATGATATCCTGTCCAAACACTATTAGTACAAATCTTTCTTCTCATTGAATTAAGAGAAAGCATAGCTGTATATCCATCCTAACTATTTTGAATACACAGACACAAAATGGTCCATCATTTGTGTCCCCTTTTTTGGTTTAGTTTTGTCAGAGATGGGTATTCCATTGTCATGGCTGACACTGACAAAGGATCTACAAACTGTGGTACAGGGTTTCAGGATAAATCCTGAGGGGATTTGACTGACCTTGGCTGATACAAAAGTTACATTTCTTGTTATATAGGTCTTGCTTTATCTTGGTCTTAACCATCCAGCAGAAAAGTATAAAAACAAAGTATAAAAAGTAAAGCTATATTAATATGCTGAGCTGTAAAAGGCTCAAGTCAACAACTTTTGACATTGCCAGACCTATGGATAACCCACTATTAGGGACTACTGGGCTATATTGGGTTATTTTGCTGAATTCATGCACCTACAATATTTAAATTACAATGGAATTTAATTTAAATTCTTCTCTTTGAAATTTGTTAAATTCTTCTCTTTGAAATTTGTTAAAGAGAATAGCAAAATATGCTATGACAAAAAGAAGCAAAATAAAGTAAAAGGTGGGAACAGGAAAACTTTGGCCGTCCTTCTGTGACTTGGGAGTGGTGATGAGATCTATAGAAAGGTGAAGTGGCCTGTCCTTTTGTCTTAATTGTTCATATTCTTGGGCTTGTCCCTACAGATGTAGGATAATGGCAAAGTATTGATGACCCATTCAAAGGATGACTGCCACAGATGCTATTATTTGTCCTTCAACAGGTCTCAGAAGCTGGGTGTTGTAATATACATCTGTAGATCTAGCTACTCAGGAGGCTGAGACAGGAGAATTGCTTGAGCTCAGGAGTTAGAGACTAATTTGAGTAACTTGGGAAGGTCCCATCTCAAATAACAAAACAAAACAATTTCTCAATAGTGTCATGTCAAGAGACACTGCAGTTGAATTATGGTAGCGGAAATGTCTACTTCTTTTTCAAGCAGAAAAAGTATCAGGGCTTAAAGAGGTCTGCTTAGCAACATAATTTTGAATTTGTGTTGATTCACTTTCCAGAAGGTAACATTGAAAGCTGGCTACAGGCAGTTTCATGATGTGAATCAAATTTGCCTTGTTGTGGTGGTGGATTTAGATCTGACACCCTTTTACACACCTCTTCCTTGAGGCAGACCTAAAGTCCTCTGTTACATAATGGATGGGAAGTAGACCTACATTTTGAAATAAGCTAGGGGACAGAGAATCTGGGAGTACAGCTGTGGGCAGAAAGCGATCAGGTCCTTCCTGGAAAGAAATTTATCTCCTCGTGAAGGAGGAAGGTATAGATCAGGCTTGAGGAAATTTTGTGAGCAAGATAGAAACCAGGAAGCTAAAAACTAGGGAAGAGTGACCAGCAAAATTTTGCCTAGGATGTCCAACTCATCTCCTTCCTCTGTGCCTGAGACTGTGTATGTTCTTAAACAGAAAGCTGGATTTTTTTTGAGTCATAATGCAGGAATGTATCAATGTGTGAGAGAGAAGAAGGAGGGAATTGAGTCCCTAGGACCAAGAAAGGATTTGAAGCAAGAAGTGGAGCTCACAGGAAGAGGAAAGAGAGGAACTCCCACACAGAAGAGGGAGGTGGAAAACCATACTTTCTCCCTGAGTCCTGCCTAATTGCAGGGGAGGGGTGGCTGAAATCTGCCTCCGGAAGCTTGATGGTTCCAAAGACCTCTACAGAGAAACAAAGTAGCATAAAGAGGTGGACACTGTGGACTGCAGTGGATGGTGAGTGATTTCAATCAAGTCTGGAGATTCGCATGAGAAGGAGATTGGCCAGTTGCCATTTTAGAAAGGGACCAATTAAACTCAGATCTAGATCAGGAGTGTGTTGGCTCCCTCTCAAGGCTTTCAGTATCAGAGTGAAGCATAGCCATGGTAAACACTCGGGGGCAGGGAGCCGAGTTCAAGTCAGCAGGAAGTACCTGGAATGTTGTGTGCTGAACAAATCGGGCCCTAACCTCACAGCCAGAGACCAGAAGCAGCCAAAGTTCAGTGCAGCTGGACATTTAGGCTTGTTGGGATTACCCACCACCCCAGTGTAATTATATTGCAGGCTTCTGGCTTCAACCAACATGGATCTAGGTTCTGTCTGCTCTCTTTGTCTATGAGTGACAGCAAAGACATATCCTGAAGTACACAATTTTTTCTCCCTTTATTTGCTTATTTTTTCTCTTCATTGTTTGTTCTTGTTTTATATTGTCAACATTATTTCTGTTTTTTTATTATTTTGTTCTGTTCTCATTTCTTTTTTTTTGTATTTTTTCCATAATTTTATTGATAAATAAACAGCAATAAGACAGTTTCAAATCAAATTGGTAGGACAGTTTCAGTAATGAACACATTGCATACATTCCTCCCAGTGGTTAATTGCTGTACACGATGCGAACATGATATCCTATTTACAAACACTATTAGAACAAATCACTCTATTCATTAAGAGAATGTAACTATATATCTATCCTAACCATTTTGAATACACAGATACAAAATGAACACTCATCTGTATACCCTTTTTAATTAAGTTCTGTTATTTGAATATTGTAGGTGTGTTAACTCAACAAAATAAGCTAAAAGAGTTCAGTAGTCCATAATAGTAATGGGTCTTTCGCTTCACTGGCAATGTCAGAAATTGTTGACCTGGGTCCCCTAAAGCTCAACATAACAGCATGGCTTTACTTCTTATATTTTGTTTTTATACTTTTCTGCTGGGTGGTTAAGGCCAAGGTAAAGCAGGACCTATGCAAGAAGAGCTGGAGCTTTTGGGCCTGATAAGGTCAGTGAAATCCCCTAAGGATGCATCCTGAGATCCTGTACCTCAGATTGTTTGTCATTGTCAGCCATGTGGATGAGTCACGGCCATTGCTTGGCCAATGTGCTCTCTGTGAAAGCCTGAGAGAATGTTTTCTCTCCATGTGACTC